AAAAAAAAAAAAAAAAAAATCAATTTTAAATACAAGAACCTCTTCTAAGTGTGAATGGTGCGGGTTTTTAAGAGATAAAGTAAAATAAACAAAAATAAAAATGGAAGTGTAAATAAAAATGAGACGACGGAGATCCAAATCCGTGCAACTTTAGTTACTTAACCTGACAAGATTTATTAGGGATTACTACCGACATCTCACGCTTAGAATATGACCTAAATGAACAACGTACCTTAGTGCATTCATAGTTTTGCTTTTTCATTTTCTTCGACTTCATCCTCAAACTCATCATTCACATCCCCGTTCTTTATCTTCTACATTTTGTCCAACCCATTCTCATCTTTCTTTTTCTTTTTTCGAAATCTCAAGTAATATGGATTCGACACGTGAAGCAAACACCTCCATGGTAAGCTAGTTGTACGAATGTGAGTAGGAGCATGACCATTTAAGAATGTGTGTGCAATAGGTCAAATCAACGATGAAACGATCTTGTATGTCCATATCTACGTTAACATAAAAATAAATACTTACACCTAAAAATGACCATTTTTTTTTGGGATTTCCCACTTCTCTCTTCAACTATTTCCTCAACGATCATCAATTTCTCAATTTCTCGTGAATCGGGCATCTGGGTATCGAGAACTGTGATCCCTTGATGACGAATTCGATGACGAAATTGAACGATTGTTGTTGCTGATAGTGAAGAAATCCATTGGTGGGTTTCCTATTGGGGACTCAGACAACTGTTGATGATCTACGGCATGCAACTTCCAAGGTAACTTCGGCTCATTACTCCATGGGATTGCCCACGTTGTGTTTGATTGTTTGTCTGGGAAGTTAGAAGTTCAATGCAATTATGAACACTTTGTTGACTAAATATATGAGATAAAGCTCATGTGGTTGATTAAAGCATTGCAGGTAGATCTGGCATTAGTAGAACATTGCATCAGATTAGTGCCATCGGGAATCTCTGACTTATTGTAAGGGTCCAAGTCCATCGTTAGTAGATGTTTTCTGTTTTGATTTGTTATGTATCGCCGCCAGCTTCATGATTTTAAAACGAGTCTACTAGGGAGAGGTAAGTGCAACTCTTGGCGAGGAGGAATCAAGCTAGAGAACTATTCAAAAGGATGTAAGAAAAGAACACCCAACGTTTGTTTGTGGGGGTAGATGTGACATCCCACGTTGGTTGGAGAGGGGAACGAAACATTTCTTATATGGATGT